GATTACCTTTCTGGATTCTATGCAGACCATAATCAGACACTGTAATTTGTATTTATTTCTGCCTCAATTTTTTTCCTTTATGGTTTTGGAGATCTTTTCATGTTGAGTCTGTTTCTAAGTAATCTAAAACTCTAAGACAGTCCAAAGCATTATACGGATTGAGGCACTGGTCACCGAATTTGCTATGCAGTATGAAATCCAAAGATTTCAGTCTCCTGAACTTTAAAGAAAGTGGAGCCAGTTTTCTTTATGTTAATTGAAATTAAAATATGTAAGCTCTTTTGTATTTATGAAGTAGAAAAGCTAAAAGTCATTTGGTGAGAGAAATCACATGGAGAAATTCCCAGGGCTGAAGTTTTATACACACCAGAGAGTATATTCTTTATTTTTTCAGGAAAAAAATATTAAATGTGTGCTTATTTTGATAAAACACATAAGAACTAAAAATAAAAATATCAGTCATAGTTAAATGATCTGTAACTATTTATATTTTGGTATGTTTTCTTCCAATTGCTTTATTTCTGTTTTTAAACTTATAAGAAATTGTAGTAGTTAAACCCATAGCACAAATGGCCATCTACTCTTTCATATATAAATATCTCAATTTATATAATAATTATTCCTTTATGAAAAACTTCCTTTATGAAATATTGAGGGTTTTGGATGTGTGGTGGTGTAAATAATCCTGTAATAATTGCTCATAAACCTCTGTTCACATTTTAAAATACTTTCTGATGACATATCCCCACAGAAGAAATTACTGTTAATGACATAAATATTTTAAAGCCTCTTAATAACAGTTATAAAACTGCTTTCTAGAAAGTTTGTTCTGTTTACATGCCCAACAGCAATGAACATGAATACCTATTAAGATGTAACAATATCCCACAGGTGCTGGAAATGTGTTCACAGATAGAAACAAAAAGCTATTATAAAATTACACCTGATGAAACAGAAGGGGAGGTGAAAATAAAATTTCATCCCTAGAAAGAAAGAGAGAAATCATGTGTGTTTTGTCCATCCCATTATGTCCTATGTGAGTAAGGACACCTTGTTGTTTTAACTTTATCGTTACCTTGCATGATTTTTTGGTTTTTTGAACTGTGGGGGTTTTTTTGCATATTTTAATAGGCTGTTTATCTTTTATCGTTGAATTTCAGGAGTGAGTTATATATTCCGAATACAAGTCTTTTGTCAGATATATTTAGTGCTAATACATTCTCTATCTCTTCTCATCTTTTTATTTTCTTTGTTTTGACAAGCAGAACTTTAAACATTCTTCTGAATTCCAATTCTATGAAGTAGGCTTATTTCATGTGAGTGCTTTCTGCACCTTTCTTAAGAAACCTTTCTTATTCCAGGAAAGGTTGGGAAAATATCCTTTTGTGTTTGATTTTTAAAGATTTGTAGTTTTAGCTTTTGTGTATAAGTCTGTAATTCAGCCCAAATTAATTTGTGTGGATTATGTAAAGTATGTATTAAGATTCATTTTTTAAAAATACGTTTACCCAGTTTTTTCCCAGCATTATTTGTTGAATAGACTTTGCTATAGAATTACTTTAGTGCCTTTCAGTTGAATGTGGTTCTATTTCTGGACTCTATCCTGTTTCACTGATTTATTTCTTTATCCTTATGGCAGTACCACACTGTTTTGATTACTGTAGCTTCACAGTAAGTCTTCAAACGGGTAATATGAATCATTCCACTTTGCCCTTCTAAGAATGTTTTGGGTATTCTCTCTTTTGCCTTTGTACATAAATTTTAGAATCCGTTTGTGTTGACCAAAACAAACAAACAAAAACTGCTGGGATTTTAATTGGGATTGCTTTGAATCTTTAGAGTAGGGAGAATCGACAGGTTACCAGTATGAGTGTTCCAACCAGAAATACATCTTTCTCCAGTTAGCTGTTCTCTCATTTCTCTTAGCAAAGTTTTATAGTTTTATAGTTTCAGCATGATTTTCAGGCTTTTGCGTACCATCTGTGGATTTTGTTCCTAAATCTTTTATGTTCTCTTCTCTGCTCCCACCCAGCCAGGATTGCCCATCATTCCCATCTGATGGCAAGTAGAGTAAGGGCTTGAGTACTAAGAAAGAGAATGAAGCTTGGAGACAAGTATTATGGGGAGGAGTGTAGTGTGGAAAGACACAAGGTCTCAAGCCACACCTGTGGCATGAAGGGAAGTTGTTATGGTCTGGGCAACAGGGCAGTAATGGCAGTGAATATACTTTGTTCAGGGGATCTCTTTATTTGCCTGTCAGGGCCCGTGCTATCAGAAGGGCAATATTTGAAATTTTCACAAGAGTAATAGATGCTAGATAAAATAGATAATTCAATCTCTGTCACGAATAAACCATGATATTATCACCAGTAAATGATTCCTTCTAGCAAATCATGGGGATATTTATGGTTAAGCCTAGACCACCCTGAGTGATGAAAAATAAGCATTTCTAATAAGCATTTAAAGTATTAAGGAGGGCAGGTATTGCATGGAGCACTGGGTGTGGTGCATAAACAATGAATCTTGGAACACTGAAAAAATAAAATAAAAATTACCTTTACTCTAACTTGTTCCAAAAATAGCGTGGCTGTGCTAATAATAATAGAACTGTCTTTATCCCAAAAAGCTATGTAGTATAATTCCTCCTGTGCCTCGCAGTGATCTTGGGTTGATTTTGAAATGCCAGTGGGACAGCTGTTTACGTGTTTGTGGTATTTGCTGCTGCTCTAATTTGAGGCTGAGAAGATGACTTAAAAATGCTCTACAGTACCGTGTATGCCTTCTCATACCTTCTCCAACCAAGGGGTTGGAAAGTATTTAAAACAGTTTCCAATTCTGTCAAAGTCAAAGGAAGAAGTTCTCACCTGGCAGGTTCTGCATTTTTATTTGTGATTAGGCCTAGTCAAGGGTGACCAAGGGGAGGAGAAGAAATGGCATTTCCAGAACACCAGATGAAGGGATAGAGTTCTCAGCTGAGAAGTACTTGAAGGCAAGGGAAATATATTAGAAAAGTTCTGGACATGAGAGAGTGGCTCTAATCTAAGTGATTTAAGTGGATCGTTTGAGTACACCCAAGAAAAACTTCCGGCTGAATAACAAAGGACCAGGGAATAGACCAAAAAGAACGTTAGTAAATTCTGACTACATCCTCCTCTGCTTTCTTGTTCTCCCAACTAATTGAATAAAATTATACGTAAAGCACACAATGGAATGCTTTTAACATTACAGGTGTTCTATAAGTAGTTCTTCTCAGTTTTTATTCTTTTTTCTTTCTGTCCTTTTTGTCCCTTTGTGTTTCTTTTCTCTTTGGATTTATAGATAATCAAGTTTCTTTTATTCAAATTAATACAAGTACAAAAAAAAAAGAAATTCAATGCATCAGAAAATATACATATCTGGCAACCAAATAAGGGAAGTCAACAAAATTTATTCCCCATTCATGGAAATGAGACATATGGAAACAGGTTGATACTATGTTTTAATCTTTGAAATTTTGAGCAAGTTGCAATTTTACTCCTTTTTAAATATTTATTATAAGCTAATTGATAACTCAAAATACATAATATAACCTTACTGAAAAATTATTTAGCAGTATCTGCTCAAGTTAATTGTACATCTCAGCTTAACAGCGTAACAATTGTTCTCATTGTATGTACCCAAGAGAGTATCTACCAAAAGATACATACAAGAAAGTTTATATCCACAATAGCTACAAACTGGAAACAACCAAATGTTTACCAGCTGAAGAGCAAATATATATATTTTGCTATATAGTACTTAAAAATAATGAACAAAAAACTTCAGACACAAAAGAGTCAGCTACTATGGTTTACATGAATTTCAAGTTCAAACAGATTGAATCTATGGTGATAGGAGTCAGAGTATTGGTTGCTAACTGGTTTGTGGAAGGGGTATAAAAAGACTGGAAAGGAGCACATGGAAAACTATAAATTATCTAAAGCTTGATCAGGAAGGTGATTCACATATGTGTATAAAATATTCATCAAGTTGTATAATTTGTGTACTCTTTTATAACCAAATATGTATAATTTTCATTCATCCCTAAAAGGTAAATGATACTACATATGTAATAACATACACAACATAAAAACATATAGTATATAATTTGACATATATAAATATATATGTGTGCATGTACATATTTTTTTTAACTAATTCAGGAAAGTTAATGCTACTTTGTTGTTCTTAACAACAGGCTTTTCATGTTAGATTTACTTTTCCATTCTTTGGCCACCATGGTAAACTGAGCTCTGTGTTGGATTTTGATCCTCAAAGCTGCTTTACCTTTTGTAATGTTTGTAATTGAGTAATTAATATTATTTTGCATTTCATTGGTCTTATACAGATTAAATTGTAGGTTTGAGGAGGTTTTTGGTAAAAAAAAAAAAAAAAAAAAAGGATTTTTCCTTTTTTCCAAACTTTTCCCCCAAGTTTGAAAATTAACCAAGGGTGGGTTGCCAATGTAAATATGAATATATTTAATATATAATATATAGTTATATATTATAGCATATACATATATAAGATATATGTTATGTATACATATATATGTAGGGTAGCTATATTATGTATTTGTACTTAAATAATACATATTATAATATATATTTATATTTAAATTAGAAAAATCTCCCTTAACCTGTGCTTTATGTCCTTTATAGTCTTTTTTTCTCCTTACATTGGTTATTCAGTGGGAATAAATAGCACAAAGAACAACTTCTGTATTAAAGTAATGTGATTAAATTAAGACTGAAAATACGTAACACCGAAAATTGGCTATTGAGAATTTTTGGTCACGTTCATAAGAAGTTGAGACTTTTTAGTTTATTTTGTTAAGGTGACTTACCCAGGGTTTCCCAGTCCACTCCTGGCGAGCAGCTTTCACTATGTTTATTGGGTTATTCAGAGCACACTTGGGGGTTCTAGCTTTCCTGACTCTTAAGAACTAACTTCCAGCTTCCTTTGGACTCTTGAATTCACAGGCTGCCCTGCAAGTTGGAGGCCATGGGGAAAGGCTACACCAGTGTCGGGAGGTCATGCTGCTCACTTACAAGTCCATCCCCATGCAAGTGGATGGGGAGCCCTGTCGGTTGGCCCCAGCTATGATTCGCATCTCCTTGAGGAATCAAGCCAACATGGTACAGAAGAGCAAGAGGAGAACATCCATGCCTTTACTCAATGAGTGAGTCTGCCCCTTGCCTACCTTTGTGAACACAAAGACCATGAAGAGAACGCCAAGCATGTGCATGGTCTAGGGGACTTACTGTGTTGAAAAAGGAACAAAGTCCAAGAAACAGCAGTTCTTGGTCTCTCTGACATATCTTTCTTCATGTTTATTACACAGTGACCACACTCTGACTTTAGAAATAACTACTGTATTGTACACAAGGTAGATAACGCTTCTCCATTGACCACTTTGGTATAGATTTATTGGGAACAACAGAAAATCATTAAGAGTGATTCTAGGGTCATAAAATGCATCAAGATAAGAATGTACTGTTTTGTTTTAAGAAGGCATGCTGCTGGCCTCTTTTCTACCCAGGTCACTTGCAGAGTGTTGGTTTCCCCAGTAGCGGGAGGTGGGCAGAGCTGGGTGTTTGAAGCTCACCCTCTCTCCACAATTGCATCCCCTTCTGCCTGTTAGTGAGTTACTTTCCTGATGCCCCCGTATTGGGATCCTGTGGATGCTGGTGCTTCAACTCAATTTTGCCATTCTGAGTGGCATCCTGTTGTCTAGATACAACCTAACTCACTATTCCATACCGAAATAAACTGTATCCCTCTTGAACCCTTTTCTTTTCTTAGGTGTTTCGATGAACCGATTTGAGATAAAGAGATAATAACTAGATATTTAGAGTATATATTCCTCTTAGAGCACCCCTTCATCTAATTGTTTTTGTTTGTTTTTTGTTTTTGGTTTTTTTTTTTTTAATAGCAGTGTCTATCTGGGGTTGGAGAAGGGGATGGGGAAGGATGGCAATTTAGGGCCTCTTTTTGAGTATCTTCTTTATATAATGCCCATATGTCTAGTCTAACCCAAGGTAGGGTCATTTCTGGGCTCAGCCTTGGGTCATTATTCTGTCCCTGGGGGGACCCTCCAAGGTGCTCCTCCTGTTTGTGGCCTGTGGTGCATGGTTAATGATGTGTCCTGAATGGCTGGCTTCCTGCAGTGCCTGTGAAGCAGGGCATGCTTTGACAATCTACAGGAGTGCCTAGAATAAACCAGTGACACAGGTGCCATAGCTCATTGCCAGAACCTGACTTCACCTCTCTTTCTGCGATGGCATATGTTGAGGATTAGCATTAGGCGGGGCTCTTCCAGTGTCTGCATTTTCAGTATCTGCTTCTAAGTCTGAAGCTGGCATGAGAGAGCCTCTCTCCTCTGCTTCCCCCTTTCCTGGAGTCTCTCTGGACATCAGAGTCACTCAGCACTTTCCCCACATCATTATCCAGATAGCCTGTCAGTTCTATTCCTTACTTTGTTTACATTTTGCAGCTAGTGAAACTCCTAGCTCATCCCCCCTGGTTTTCTTTTCTCCTTGCTTGAACTCCCATTAGGCTGAATATACAACTGGCCAGTTTATATGTGAAAAAGATAGGATCTCAACAACCATATACGGTTGACCAGATGCTCTCTAGAAATGCTAGTGTTAATCCCTGAACCAGTGGTTGGGGAGAAAGCTCTGAAACACTAAATGAAAAGCCATCTTGGAGACAGTATGGCAGCTCAGGTTGTTTTGGGTCACTTGGGGATAGTAAAGAAACTGTAATAAAATGAAAATTTCTTAATATCTACAGATGATCTCCCATCCCTATTCCTGGTGGTGCCATATTTGATAACCTTATCAGACACAAAATTGTTTCCAGGTGCTTAGTTTCAAACAGCTCTTGCTCTTGAACCGAGAAAGAATTTGTATGTGCTCGGCAACTGTGGTGTTAAGAATTCATTTGAGCTTTCTTCACACATGAAAACAAACACAAATAGTTTTTTTCTTTTCGTACTTAGACTACATACGACAGATGATGCGATGGCATAGGTAACGGCGGTGGGGTATTCGAGAAACAGCCTCAAGTCAAAAATCGTTCCTTCCCACCAGGGGGCAGTGGTGCACCCACCTAAGCAGCCTCCGGTCTCAGGAAACCCCTGAAGGACAATAACGAGCTTTTCAGTTCCAAAAAGGACACTTGTAAAACTTAACTAAGATATTTACTGCTGCCGATGATAAATAACTATTGAAACACTATATTTTTTAGAAAATCAATACAGATAGCACATTTTCAAAGGAAAACCAAACACCACCTCATCTTGTCACGAGTGTTAAAAACTAAACCTCGATTGCTCTCCCTCACTGCTCTGTTCATCCTCGGCAATTAGGTTTCTTCTTTCTATTTTACTAGAAATTTTTGAAATCTGACTTCTTGTTTTGAAATCTGACTTCTTTCACTGGATTTCCAGATGGAGTTTCCAGTTTGAGGGTTGCCTGGCCATGGAGACCTTTCTACAAGTTTTCTTCAACCTTCTAAGTCCTCTAGGCTTTTCTGTTTCGGCCACAGTTGTGCCAAGTTCACTTCCACAGCCATGGCAGAGAGATAATTGGGAGACATTTCTTTATTTTCTTCCTTCCCTCCCTGTTTTCCTCTTTCATTCTCTGTTTCTCTCTCATCCCTCCTTGTGTTCCATGACTCCCTGTTACCTCTGTTCCATTTGCCTATCTTCTTTCAGAAGAAAGAGAACTGGTTTGCAATGTCTGGAGAATTCATTTAGAAACCTCTGTGTGTGATGAGTATTGGGGGGTGGGGGTACTGAGTTAACTGTGTCTGTTTGAGAATCAAGTACTGTGGTTCCCTAAACAGCTGGCTTCCTTTTCCACTTGAGCAGTGGTGTTCCTCACAGGTTTGCCTTTCTCTGGGAGATCACATCTGTACCCCAGATTTCATCTGTGACTGATAAAGGAGTAATTTCACATCTGTGTCTTCTAGCCCAGCATTCCTTCTAACAGCCAGAGACTCATACCCAGATGTCTCAGGTGACATCTTTACCTGGATATCCCCTAGCAACCTCAGACTGAAGGCTGAAATGGGCTTATTAACTCCGCTCTCATTGCTTTCTCTGCTCATCAACCAGTGAGCCCTCTTCATTCATATTTGTCTACAAGGAACCATCTACCCATTCACCACTCCCCTGCCATGAGTCTTCATAGTCACCCACACTGTTACACATCCACGTGGCCTTGGAGGCCTACCTTCTATTTATTTTCCATGTCTTTTTTGGGGGGTGGGGTGGTTAAAGATTTATTTATTTCAGAAAGGGCAGGAAGGGGCTGAGGGAGAGAATCTTCAAGCAGACTTCCTGCTGAGGGCTGGGCCCAACTTGTGCCTTGATTCCATGACCCTGAGATGATGGCTTGAGCCAAACTCAAGAGTCAGACACTCAACCAACTGAGCCACCCAAGCACCCCTATTTCCCGTGTCTTTAATTCACACCAACTACCCACTCTGCTAGTAATACAGCTTCTGTTCAACGGCCGTCTAAGTTCATTCACGCTGTCATCACTAAATGATGCTCATGATTCTTGATTCCGGTGTCACTGCCCTTCATGCAATGCTTTTCCAATAGACTAATCAGAAGGATCTTTCTAGAAAAGTTAAACTCGTATTCCTTAGCCTTGCAGAACTTTTTGATCATTGCCATCATCATCCTCTTCCTGCGCTCCAAAGGTCATCGCTCATCTGGAGCACTGGCGTCTTTTGCACATCTCTTGCTCTTCTTGCTCTGTCTTCTTTCCTTTTTGTCGGTTGACTCTTGCTGAAGTTCAAGACTCCATTGAAATGTCACTTTCCCTAAGAGTCCTTTTCGATCTACTTCTAGATCGAAAGTGGATCTACTTCTAGATCTAGATTCCATTAGATACTCTGTTAGGGTTCTAGGTTACATTCATCACACCATCTACCAAGAAGAATATAGTTCTTGGTTTACTTGTCTCTCTTTCCAGCTTGGAGTTTTCCTCTTAGGGTCCTCAGTGCCTACCAGTATGTCTGAGACATGATTAGCTGTTGAATAAGTGACTTGTACATGGACCAGATCGGTAATCCTGTATCTATTAACATCGCTCTGAGACTGCATCTAAAATAACATAGATCTAAAATCCATGAATATAAAAGTAACAGAGGTAACATCTTGATAACACTTGGCGTGAATAAGTGGAAGATACATACTCAAGAATTTCAAGATTTGGTTCACATGGATTGGATACGTGGGGGAATTCCCATGAGAAATTATTAAATAGTAGGCCATCATGATGCCACTAGATCTTCATTTATACAAAAAAAATTATTTCCAAAAAAATACTTCTTGGTCTATAATCCCATTTGCTATTACCATATAGAAACTGAAGGGCTAGACCTATTGTGTTCAGTAGACCCCCACCTCTCTGGGACAGGAGCATATCTCATTTTATCATGGCTTATGAATCTATTCAAAATAAGAACCGCAGTGAATATCATTCCCCCAAAAAGTAATGGCAAAGATTCATCTAGGTTCATATTCTTGTACTAGTAACATGGTGCCCAGATAAACTTGATGATGCTCTTCAAAAGGCACCTTTGAAAGAGAGCAGAAATGTAAAATTTCTCGGGTGGTTAGGGAGATCTTAAGCCAAGTGACTCCTGAGCTCACTGGTAATGAAGATTCCACTGGGAAAGGCAATCATATTAGTCAGGGGCAAGATTTCTAGTTGGCAGACTTTGAATTGGGCAACTCAATGGGTTGGAGTCCTTCATTCTGGTGCTCAGAAGTATTATTGGTTGTAACTGATAGTCCTTTGAGGAACACAAGGAGTTGATCCATGGGTGCCTTTATGTGTGAATTTATATACCCAGCAGAAAAGAGGGATGGCTGTGCCTACCACAGTTACAGCAAAGCTCTTCAAATCTTCTGGGAGAGTGGAGAGAATAATTCTGTAAATGTGACAACAAATTTTAGGTTTATTTAGTTTCTTAAATTTTGTGTTTCATCTTTTCTAATAGCTACTGAAGTTTCTTTCCTTTATAAAAGAAGAGAGAAAAGGGCGAAGTCTATGGTCCCCCTCTTCTACCAAGAGTATGAGTGGAATTACAGCATCACTGTGATGAATTTAGGCTTTCTTGGAATTACCTTCAGAGTCATTAAAGGTTTTGTTGAGCCACGCTTTTTCAAGATGGTTGTCTTTTGACACAAATTTCCTACAGAGCTCTGGAATCAAGAGGACTATGTTAAAGGATTAAATTTACCTTGACTCTCCTCAAAGATGAGTTTACTATGCCAGCCTACTCCTCTCTAGTGTGTGTGTGTGTGTGTGTGTGTGTGCGCGTGAGCACACGGATCCTCTCCTTGGATGTCTCCAAAGACCTAGAGCAAGAGAGGAACACGAGGATGCCTCCTGCCCACCTGCAGCCCTGCCCAGTGTCCGCGCTCTCGCAGCATCTGCCCGTGCCCTGCCCTGTGCTGCGGTCCGTGGCTTGCCTTAGAGCCAGCCCTTGCCCTGTGTCCTGTTGGCTTCATTGCTATCACCGGCTTTTTGGATTATGTCCGTGGCTGGCTGGATTTTCCTTTTCTTTTCATTCACTGTTTGGTGATGCGCTCATTTAATTTCTGTTTAAATTTTGTGTGTCTCTCTTTCTCTCTCCTGGCTTGTTCCCTGTCTGTCCACGCTGTTGTGCTGACTGTCTTCGCTGCTCATTCCCTGCTGCCTCTAGTATCCATCAGGTGCCAGCTGCTGACCTACGGAGAGTGTCTGCCCCCCCTGGCTCCTTCACCACGTGAGTACAAAGCCGGTCCGTTTCTACATTTCGTCTAACACCCTCCTGTCCTCCTCAGGGTTAGACTACCTGCCTCCTTTTCCCTCCCAGGTCTGCTTCTCAGACGAGGACCCACCAGCCCCAATGGCCAGGGGCCTGTCTGTGATTTGAGATGGAGTTGTCCAGTTCTTTGTGTTCGATTTGTCTTGGTCCTCTAAGGGTTCAGGTGTCGATTTTTGATGAGTTACTTTAGGGCCCATAATTGTGTGGGGTTGTATAAAATTCCAAACTAAGCACTGGTTTCTGTGGAGATTTGTGATAGCCCGTTGGCCATGCCATTATCTGTAGCTCTGGGATGATGTTGAAGGAGTGTGCCTACTGCCCCTGATTTGTGAATGGACCCCCTCAAATTAAGTGTGGAGTTTTGAGTGCATGCATATGCATCCGGGCATTATTTGGGTGGAGAATCCATGGTTGTAATAAAAGGTGAATGACTGAAAACTCTCTGAGTTAGCAAAACACACTTCATTCATTGTTAATAATTTGTACTTGATGTGTTCTATGCTTTTATTTTTTTCTAGTGAAAAAAAAATATATATATATATATATTTTTTTTTAGCACCTTGGGACTTCTTTTTCGTCTTGTTGCCCCTTTCTTGCCCTTTCTTTTTCTTTCAGATACTTAACTTTTGTTCGGGTTTAGGTACTGGTACATGTGCTTGGTATTAACTGCTTAAATTATTACTACCCCAACAGCCCTATGTCACATGTGCTATTATCTCTGTCCTTGGTCTTCTGGGGAATCTGGTGCACAAATCATTCGGTAACTTGCTCAAGGTCACACAGCTGACAAGTGGTAGACTGGGATGCAAACTCAGATAGCTTGGCTTCAGAGTTCACACCTTTAACAATTTACAGTTTGCCACTTTGATCTATGAGGAGCCTATCTTTCTCTTAAGCCCTAGTTGAATCATTGACTTCTCAAGGAATTCTTTGTTGATTCTTGTTGGGGTAGTTACGTTCTCACTGGGCCCACTATTGATATACTTATTATAGTTCTCAAGGTTTGATAGTCTGGTATTAATTACATTAGCTCATGTGTGTGTTGTAGGGAGGGATGGGTGTTGTGCACTAGACTTAAGCTACCTGAGATCACTGACCATATCTTCTTAGGAATTTTTGTGTCCCCAGCTCTGAACACAGATCTTAACACAAAATATTCCAAAACCAAACAGAGTCGTTAGTTGGCAAAATGAATGAATGGAAGAATACATCTCTAATTGAATTGTACAGTGTCTATTATTTAGGAATATGCCAAAATTATTCCTAAAGTCCAATAATATAATCCTACTTTCAGTCCTAGACCTACAGATACACATTCATTCATTTTTCAAAAAACATTCCTTTTAGGTGCTCTGTGTCCTCCATTTTGTGCTTGGAATCTAGAGGTGAGCCCAATGTCTCCATTGGGCTGCCTTCATGGAACTTAAAATTGAGGCCAGAAAATCAACAGGAAAATGACATTTAATTTTCAATTTGGAGGTTATTCTGCAGGTATATCCTGCATTCTACAAAAGGCCTCTTCAACAAATGGGAGTCCAAGGAATGGCTTTCAGTGATTTTTAGAGGCTATATTGATAGGGTTCAAAGAATCAAGAATATCACCAATAGAGATGCATTGGAATCTATCCCATGTCTATCCCATGTCTATCCCATGTCTACAGTTTTAGTTGTATAATTTAAACACGGCTCTTTTTTATTGGTTCCAGGTGTGCATACTACCGTAAGGTAAACTGTCACTGTTCTATAACGGTGGAACAACTAGGTGTGGCCAATTTAAAACTTGAATGTTGATCTAAAATATTTTATATCTATATATAATATATTAAATGTTACATATTATAAATTTTGTATTTCCATATCTGAAATATTTATGTAACAACACTTACTAGAGTATTTTATTTTAATTTTTAATTTTTAAATTTTTTTCCCAAGATTTTATTTATGAATTTGACAGAGAGCGTGAGAGTACAAGCAGGGGGAGAGGCAGTGGCAGTGGGAGAGGCAGGTTTCCCGCTGAGCCTGGGATTATGACCTGAGCCAAAGGCAGACACTTAACAGACTGAGCCACCCAGGCACCTGTAACTTAGCCTATTAAAAAAAAAAAAAAATAGATAAGAAAACACTGTCACAACTGTTAAGGAGCCTAGAGTAAAATCCAAATCCAAGAACAAGCAGTGTCTTTACATATTAAGGTCGTGGTTAACAGTTTTGACCCACTCTCATGCTGCTGTTTGCTACTTTCAGCAGTGTTTAATAATCACATTAATGTTGCTTGGGTCCTCATGAAAGTCAGGACCCTAGTATCTTGGACTAAGCTTGTCTGATTTTTTTTTTTCTTTTTTTGACTCTTGCTCAGCCATTCTCTGCTCAGAAAAATTCCTCTATAGATGATCTCTTCTGGGGAGAAGCTTCTCTTTCTGCTGTTTCTGTAGTAAACGGTTTCCTAAAGCAACTTACATGGTCTTTCTCTCAAGCTTTCTCCCTTCTTGGGAGAAGGTCATGGCAATAGCCATGTAAGGCGTGGGTTCCTGGGAATTGCAACTACTAATGTCTGTTTACATGGGAAATTTCATCTTTATCCAAAGGATTCTGAGATTTTACTTTTGGTCATATATGACCACATACGAATCCTGAATTTTACTGAAAATTATTTAGGGCTTTATCCAATATAACAAAACTAAACAAATATAATATTTCACCACAAGTCTTGTGTATGTAGCTTAATGAATTATTGGAACAATACTTCAGTTAAAAAATCTTTATAATTAAGTGACTTCATAGTGAAGTCCTTGCTGAAGGGCACCTATGCACACTGAATTTTATAAATCCATGAATATTATAAATTTTATGAAATCATGAATACGAATGCTAAATGTTCCAACTACCAGCTCCTGTTCAGCTAATGCCAAAAATAACACAAAGGTATGTAATTGTAAAATATCTTTGTAAAACTTTTATCCTTCAGTAACTGCTTATTAAATTCCAGTTTGTGCCTGTTCCCCACCAAAATGAAATAATGTAAACCATTTATATCTAATTTAGTCTATGTTTCATCTTTGAAAAAATATCGAGTGCCTTCTTTAACTACCAGGGTTCTGTGGGATCCTAGAGATACAGAGATTATAAAGCTAAGATTTCTGTCTTAGAGAAATGGGCATGCCAGGAAATAGACCTGTTTTGTTGCTTACAGTACAATTACAGTGCCATGTGATAAGCATCTTAGCACAGTTTCTGGTTGTACTTCCATTGTGAATGACTGTTTGAGTATTTATTACATTTGTTTTTATTTTTTTAGTACTTAAAATTAACATACAGTCAATGACTTTCTTGGTATACAGTTGGGAGTTTTAAGATGGGTGTCAATTCCTATAACCAGCACCCCAATCAGGATACAGAACTGTTCTACCACTCCAGAAAGCTCCTACTCCCTGCATCTCCCATCCAACCTCCCATCCAACCACCAATCACTGTAGTTTTGTATTTTTGAGATTGCCGATAAATGGAATCATACAATATGTTACCCTTCGCAATTGATTTCTTTCCACATAACGTCTTTGAGATTTATCAACGTTGTTGCCTACGTCAATTACATGTTTCTTTTTATTACTGAGTAGTATTCTGTTGTATGGCTGCTTCCACTTATTTACCCATTTACTTGTTGAAGGACATCTGGTAGTTTTCAGTTTTGGGCAGTCAGGAATAGAGCTGCTATCAAGTTTTGTGTAAATATAAATTTTCATTTCTCTGGGTTAAATACCTAGGAAGGGAATTCCTGGGTCATATGGTAAGTGTATGTTTAACTTCATAAGAAATTAACAAACTATTTTCTAGAGTGCAAATTTTGCATTTCTTATGTAGGAGAGAGAGAGTTCCATTTGTTTCACATCCCTGCCAGCACTTGGTATTGCTAGCACTTTAAAATTTTAATCATTTAGTCATTCTAATGAGTGTCTTTTCATTATTTTCCATCTGTTATATACTACTCAATGAAGCATCTGCCCAAGTATTTCACCTATTTTTAAATTGGGCTGTTTGCTTTTCCCTGTTGAGTTTTGAGGATTTGTCATATAGTCTGGATCCAAGTCCTTTGTTAGAGATGTGTTTTGCCAATGTTTGCCCCCAGTATATATCTTGTCTTCTCATTCTCTTTACAAAGTCCAAATTATCCAATTTTTCTATATTTGTGTTTTTGGTGTTCTATTCAAGAACTCTTGGTTTAATCCCAAGTCATAAATACTTTTTCCTTTGCTTTCTTTTAGCAGTTATAGAGTTTAACATTTTGCATTTAATTCTATGATTCGAGTTAATTTTTGTATAAGATGTGAGGTTTAGGTTAGAGTTTTGTTTTGTTTGCATTAGCTGTTCAATAGTTCCAGCACCATTTGTTAAAAAGACTATTTTTTTCCCCATTGAATTACCTTTTCATCCTTATTGAAAATCAATTGAATGTATATATGGGGGTTTATGGATATGATAACGATGGATAAATATAGATTTCTGCACTCTAATTCTGTTCCATTGATCTATGTATTTCCATCTTTGTCAATGCCATGTTCTTTTGGTTATTGTACTTTTATGTCAAACCTTAAAATCTAGTTGTGTTACTTTTTCATCTTATTCTTTATTTTAAAAATTGTTAGCTATTCAAGCTCCTTTACCTTTCCACATAAATTTTAAAATAAGCTTGCTGTATCTCCAAAAATTCTACTAGAACTTTGGAATTGTATGAAATCTGCAGATCAGCTTGGGAGATATAGATGTCTTTACTACGATGAGACTTCCAGTCCATGGTTACTGCATTGTCTCTCCCTTTATTTTGCGCATCATTGTTTTGTAGTTTTCAACATACAGATTTTGTACATACCTTGTTAGATATGTGCTTGTGTTAGATATGTGTTGGTTTTCAATTCTGGTTGCTGGTATATAAAACTACAATGGATTTTCTTGTGTTGATCTTG